CGGCCTGTTTCGGTCGTACTCCGGAACGAACACGTCCAGTTTTATAAGTAAACTCCGCATTTTTCTCTGTATCGTTTATATAATATTGACAATATTTAAATTAGTGTGTACAAATATTTTATTTAAGTTTCATGTACTATTTCTTTTATCATATGAATCACTTTTGTGTATTTTGTGTAATAAGTGACAATAATTATATCATTTGATAAGTGACATCAACTTGTTTTGTATTGAAATTATTATTACGTAAATCCTGTCTTCGGCATTAAGGATAACATAAATATTCAGGTAACACTATTTGAACTCAACCTGCATGCTTTATTTTACAACGGTAGACCCTCGATCCAAACGCCCTAGTGAAGAGTCAGATGCGCGTATTTCCCCATTCATTTCAATCCTAAATCCCCCCCCTTCTCTTCATTATTTTTGAGTTACGACAGTACAAAAGCTATTTTCCCTGTCTTTAATATATTTTTTGAAATAAAATTTTTTTAAATATTTATTTCACGAATTCGTAAAACATATATAAATGAATACTTAATATAAATCTCTTCACAATTTTATCCAAAAATTGGTAGTATTGGTAGTTTTTATACAAGAATGAGTTTAGTACGCTAGTAAACTTAGTTCTAAACGAAATAGATTTCAATAAATTCCGCAGGAATTCATTGACAATCCTCTTAAGTCAGGTCTAACAGAAGAGATTGGCATACAGTATTACCTTAATAATGTATTATCTAGTTTAAACGGATTTGCAACTGATTATATGATACAAAATTATAAATATTCAAACGACAATAATTTCTCAAATTTGGATGTGTCTCGAAGCCTTGTTTGAAAACCGACCTTATGATGATGAAACTACGAACGATTTTTTAGCGATATATACTGAATCATACTTTACTACAACCAGGGCAGTATTTAGAAGTTTTGCAGCATTGAGCACTTAATTTTTTTTAAAGGTTTTTTTTAATCATACATTTTTTTTTAAGAGTACAAAATGGGTTATTTGATAATTTTTCATTGAATAATTGTACAAAAGTTAGGAATTTTAACAAAATTACAATTATATATTAAAGTCATTTATCAACACAACAATAGTTAATGAACAATTAAAATTTTTTTATACTTTTTATACTTGAAAAGTTTTTAATGATATCGTCATTATTTATTTTGAATGTTAAAAGGTGATTACCTTCCATTGACAAGAGTGCCAAACTATTAAGTCGATCCTCCGACGAACAAGATCTTGGTACGATTTAATTCTTTTTAGAGTAGAAAATGATATCTCCGTTGAACAAATACTTATAGATGTACATAATAACATTCTCAAAGCTATGTCTATATAAGCGTAAATGCTTTGTAAGACTTTCTGTCTTACAAATATACAAATCTCTTGAATTGTCTTCGGTATACCATCAGAAAGGCTTTTTAAATGTTCTCTAAAATACAAACATTCATTTACAAATGAAGGTTCTAAATCAATAACAAATTTTTTTTGTAGTTTTGTAGCATTTTTAAATACTTCAGGTACTGAAGTATTTGTTAACTCCAAAAAATATGTGTAGTTTTCAAGAAGAAGGTTGTGAAATTCATTACTTTTTCAAGTTCAGCTTTAATTTTTTCTAACATGACAAAATAAGTGTAAACTTATAAGATTCTAGTTTTGTATAGGTAATATTTTCAGCTGGCCCTTCATCATGGAATGTTTTTCTCTTTTTTAAACGTTTTCAGTCATTTTTGAAATTAGTAGGGTGAAAAAGGGTCCTCTAGGTCCTCTCCGCTTCACCCACTCACCTAACCACCATGGAAATGGGAAGAGGGGTGGAGGGGAGAGTAAATCCAACGTAAACTATCATATTGCAATGTGAGGGGGAACGACGAAACCCAACGTAAACTAACCTAAGAAGAACCTCTCCTCCTCCACCAAGTCTTATGAGAGAGGGGTAATGTAACTTTAGGTAAACAAACCTATAGGTGGGGGGGAATGAAACACGACGTAAACTAACACAACTTGTCACGCGCCTAAATTATGCTCGGCTATATATACATAATATCGGTTTTTTGACGAAAAAAAAATGCATTTTCCAGTTAAGCTATACGGTTACAGTAAAAAGTACAAATTTTAAAAGTCGAATCCGCTATTTTGATATGCGACATGTATATATTTAGAAAAAGTCTGTACGGAAAAATATATATCTTACCTAATTTGTAAAAAAACATAGATTTATTCAAAACAGTCATTGTGTGCCAGATGGCTGTATTGATGATTACACTATAGCATTTGAGATTAATACAGCAGATGGCCCAACGCGGCGACGACGGCGATGTCACTGTCAATTAGATTAATTGTTATTATACAAGTTAATATACCGTTATTCGTATAGTGAATAATAAATCAATATTTTTTTTTGTATACAATATATACTAATGACGACTTTTCAAGTTTTCTTATAGCAAAACACATTCTTAAATAAACACTACCGCCGCCGCCGCCGACGACGACGACGTAATCACTGGAACATATATATTATAATGTTTATAATATTATTATAATCTGTATTATACTTATCGATTAATGTCGTACATATATTTTGTCTGAATTATTACTGGTATCCCTCCCATTGTTATAAATTAATATTGTATTTAACAACTGTAATTAATTATTTTTAATAAAATAATAGCTTCGACTGGACAGATTGCATTCTTCATCCGTCAACGCATTAGAGACGGCAGACGGTCATAATTTTTACAAAGGCATCTGTTTTAAATCCTAATGACATATATGTGTAAACATTTCACTTTAAGACTGAATGTTTTCATGCTATTACAAATGACGATTCAATTTATCAATTAATTGTCTTGGGTGGCGTTTATAAAAATGTAACATGTGCTGTATAACATGTAGAAACCTGAATATTTTTTCTCAGACCACTTGATATACTTTTGTCATTTTGCTCGCGATATACGATGTACTTGTGCGATTAATGACCGTGCACCGCCATCACTGGTGCACCNGCGATTAATGACCGCGCACCACCACCACTGATGCAGCGGATAATACAGTAACAATCCGTATTTATAAAGACATCAATAATGATTATATTCACTCTTTGACTAAGCGTTATTAGCGGCTCGTTAACATATTGCTTAAAAATATTCAGTTAAACGTATACAAGTACTAGTATTTATTTTTTTTTTTTATTTAAATTTAAAATTGAATAACAATGGCTGATGTACATTTTACTGGTGCTGCACAAGTTAAGTTTTTTTGATTGTATATTTCGATATTTTCGACACACAAATTGTTTTTACGCATTTTTTCACAGCCACCTCTGCCGCGATTATTTCACACCACCATTCGGTTAGACGTAGGGCTAAAANTCCAAACCACCATTCGGTTAAACGTAGGGCTAACAACAGTAGGGTAAAATCGAAAAGGTTGCGTATACAATTGCCGGACGCGAAAAATTTCATCGAGATTGATTCCGCATTGAAGCGAGGAGCCGTTTGGTTTTATCGGAAAAACGTGGAAAATTTCGCAAGCTATCGAGATTTTCTGCGTGCCGTTAAACCCGAGCTGGTTGCCAAACTCGGTGAAATCACAGCTGTTCAGCCTATTAAATATAATCTCAAATTGGAGGCCTCTTACTATATACCGAGATCGGAAGCACTGCCCGAGGACCGTGCCATCAAGACACGGGCTAAGGTGTTGTTCTCTGACACGGACATTGTGGGAGAGGTCAATGACGATTTTGAGATTATGCTCGCTGAGAAAGATGTGTACTCGGGTAGGGGCAGCGGATTCACGCTAGCGCATATCGACGGACTCATGCTCAGCGTATACAAGTATACGCCCCTCACCGGCTCATCATATATTCCGGTCCCGCCCGAAATTTTCCATAGAAGAGCAATTATCAACCCATAAAACATCGATCAGTTCTGTTTCAAGTGGTCCATTTTGGCGAGACACGTTAAGGTAGATCACAAATACCGCGTTGATCGANTTTTCCATAGAAGAGCAATTATCAACCCATAAAACATCGATCAGTTCTGTTTCAAGTGGTCCATTTTGGCGAGACACGTTAATGTAGATCACAAATACCGCGTTGATCGAAAATATTTTAACGAGGAACACAGGTATGATTTCACGGGGTTGACGTTCCCCACACCTGTGTCCCAAATTAAAATATTTGAACGACGTAACCCTAACGTGTCCGTCAACACGTACGGCTTGGAACGGGACAACATTAAGATGAAGTGGTCGGTGTATCCGCTAAGAGTCGCCGACCAAGAGCAACAAAATCATTTTGACCTGTTGTACATCGGTGACTCTGACGAGTATCATTACGCGTACATTTCAGATTTTTCGAGGCTCCTGCGCAGCCAAAAAACTCAACACAAATACCGCATATACACTTTCAGACGTTGCTTCACCAGTTTTGATGATAAGTCTAAAAAGAATATTTTTCGAGGTCATCAAGCGTTGGAGCAACACAAGTTTATATGCGGCAAGAATAAACAAATTCTACCCATTATGCCGGCAGAGGGTAGTAAGGTCGCTTTTGACGTGTTGGTAAAGTCGCAACGGCTACTGTTTGTCATCTACGCTGATTTTAAGGCCTTGCTGGAGCAAACAGACGATCGTATGGGTGCATACACCAGGACTGTGCACACACACCATCCCATGAGCACGGGTTCATGGTGAAAACATCGAACGATGTGCCTTCCGAGCTCCTTGAATGCTACGGTATACCGCAATCACCGGTGATATACCGTGGGTCTGAGGATCGCGACGAGGTCGCCAAGGCATTCGTAATGGCTGTAACGGAAGTGACGCGCAACATTTCCAATTTGTTGCGTAAAACTAACGCCCTCATTCGAATGTCTGTCGATGATGTGTACAGGCATGGGTAGAAAGTGGTATGCGACTTGTGCCGCACGGCATTCCAGGATTCCAACTCCAAAGTCGCAGACCACTGCCATCTATCGAGCTGATTCAGACAGACGTTGTGCAATGCGTGTAATCTGAAAGTGAAGACGGTCAATTTTGTGCCGTGCTTCTTGCACAATCTTTCGGGCTACGACGCGCATTTCATCGTCACTGAATTGGGGTACGACGACCAAAGGATTTCGGTCATACCGAATTCCGAGGAGAAGTATATTTCGGTCACGAAACACGTGACCAATAACTTCTCCATACGGTTTGTCGACACCTTCCGGTTCATGGCCTCCTTCCTGTCCACCTTGACCGGTAACCTAATGACATCCGATTTCGTTAAATTCCGGGAGACGGCCAAGGTGTTCCGCCCGGAAGACATGCCGTTGGTAACGCGTGAGGGCGTATACCCTTACGAGTACACTGATAGTTGGGCTAAATTGGACGAAACGGAACTACCACCTCAAGACGCTTTCTATAGTCAGTTAAGTGAGTCGAATATCGATGATGATGACTATAGACATGCCACAGAGGTGTGGAATCGTTTCGGTTGCTCAACCCTCGGCGAGTACAGCGACCTATACCTAAAGATTGACGTGCTGTTGTTGGCTGACATGTTTGAGAACTTTCGCGACATCTGTATTACAACATACAATTTGGACACGGCGCACTATTATACCGCACGGGGTTTTAGCTTCGATTGTATGTTGAAGTGAACCAGGGTGAAGCTGGAGCTCTTAAACGACTACGACATGCTACTGATGGTGGAACAGGGCATTCGTGGTAGGCTGGTGCAGACCTTCAAGCACTATGCCAAGGCCAAAAATCCAAAGACACCTGGTTACGATCCGACAAAACCAGACTCATGGATCGTGTATCAAGATTGTAAGTATTATATATAAAAGTACAATAATTGAGCTGTGGATTAAAAACGTTTAATGTATATAGGTAATCACCTTTACGGGTGGGCTATGAGTCAGCCCATGCTACAAGGTGGCTTCCAGTGGTATGAAGGATCAGATCCTCTGGCCGACCTCCAATTGCTTTCGGACACTGGTAATACGGAGCGTATATATGAAGTAGATGTATCGTATCCAGAAGAGTTGCATGACGAGCACAATGACTTGCCGTTCTTGCCTGGCAACGATGTACCGCCGGGTTCCAAAGAGACCAAACTCATGGCCACTTTGAAACCCAAACAACGGTACGTCGTACACTATTTCAACTTGAAACAGGCGATCGCACACGGACTGCAAATCGATAAAGTATATACATCGTACCTAGAGCTATTAGCTATGATATTAATATGTTTGTCACACAGGTGCACCGCGTTTTAGAGTTTCAACAAAACGCTTAGTTGAAACCGTACATTGAGTTAAACACTGAAATGTGNACAAAGTGCTTGGTTGAAACCGTACATTGAGTTGAACACTGAAATGCGGAAACAGGCGGCAAATGCTTTTGAAATATCGTTTTTCAAATTAATGAATAATGCCGTCTTTGGTAAGTGCACGCTCAATGGTAAAGCAGTTGTGGGTTATTCGATAAATATTTATATTTTTATAAGGAAAACCATGGAGAACATGCGGAAACGCATCCGCATTGAACTAATCTCCAGTCCCGAACGTCTAAGCAAGCTCGTAAACCAACCAACCTTCAACGACTGTATCAAATACGGCGAAAGGTTGTGCGCCGTCATAATGGACACAAAGATTGTCAAGTTTATCAAACCAATATACGTCGGTTTAGCAGTGCTTGACATTAGCAAGTCGCTAATGTACAAGTACTTCTACGACGTATTAAAACCTCATTATGGCGACGCAATCAGCCTGGTTTACATGGATACTGGTGAGTACAACCGTACAGTAGAAATAGTTTTACAATATTTATATATTTTTTAATTTTTCTCAGACTCCTTCATATACCTGCTCAGAGTCAGCGACTTCTATCAGGATTTAGCTGACAGCCCCGATTTACTGGTGTATGTGGACGCATCTAGCCTGCCCAATGAGCTTGTTACTCAACCTCGAGGAAGAAGACGCCCGGTCTGTTTTTAGACGAGACCGGCGGCCTCACTCTCTTTGAGATCGCTGCACTTCGTTCAAAGTGCTATGCATTTGACATGGAAGGCAGCAAACTCATCAAGTTTAAGGGGATCCGCGGACATGTCGTCCGGAACCATCTGTCTTTGGACGATTACAAACGATGTTTGTTTGAAGACGATGGTGACGATGGTGACGATGCGTCAAAACGAGCGTTGGTCGGAGAAAATGCCCGTGTAGTCATCGGAGCCGTATGTGATGGTGAGATTCCACCGACATTATCACTACCGTACACTCCGTACCGACAGAACGTGTCAATTCGTTCTTTCGAGCACGAGATGCGCACTTTACGTACAACCAAGTTGGCGCTTAACCGTTTCGATGATAAGCGCTACACGCTCGACAACAGAGTTGATATGCTGGCTTACGGTCATTATGTCATTCCGTCGGAAGAAATTTAATCAACATTAGTTTTTATAGTAATAATAAGATTGTAAAACTCTTTAAATATCCATATCGATAAATGTAAAATATATTGTATGCTAAACCGTGTAATTGAATTTTATGATAAGGTTTTTGTAAATATAAGTGTTCTATATATAGTTGTAAATATAGTTTTAAGATTTTTTAATGTAATATTTTAATGAATTGAATTGTAAATAAATGTAATTTAGAATTGATATTATAATAAATGCTTGATTAATTAAAGTAATTACCCCCTATTTATTTCAGTAATACCAGATAGATTATTTTTCAATAGGTATTAATAACCTATAGTAAGTACTAGACGTAATTTAGAAATATTTATTTATTTTACTATAATCATTAATATACATTTTATTTATGGAAAATATATTTATTGTACGAATACAAATGAGAATATTGCAAAATCATTTTTTGACAATAATGTTACATATTATAATTCATCCATTGTTTTAAGCAGAATAAGTGGAATAAGTAGAGTAGTGATTGATTGCGTATTGTGACATTAGTTTTTGAAATTGTTTGTTGTAGAATTCTTTACCATTGTCCGTTTGCAAAAGCTTAGGATGACGACCTTGTTTCAGTTTTCCGTTCATGGCTGCGGTAACTTCGTCAGCCGTTTTATTTTTAACGGGATAGCCCACGCGTATTTTGAAAATCCATCGACGCACGTTAAAATATATCGATGTCGTTGATCAGGGTATGCACGCATTTCCACAAGGTCAGCGTGCCATATATCATCGAGACCCTTGATATTTATCCGGGTAGGGTATACGTTCTGCGGGCCTGCCGGTGGAATTCGTTAGCAATGCTNCCTGCCGGTGTAGTTCGTTAGCAATGTTCTTATTCATAACGCCGCTGGTATCTGTTCAATGTAACCGGCTTCCTGCAGCTCTTCCAATATAGAAACGATTTCCGGTGAAACTCCAGTGTTGCCAGCCGACTGGGCTGATATCAATAAACGTAAACATTCTACGAGCTCGTTGGGGTCGTCCCAGTACACGTAATCTTTTTTCTTGTTGTTCAATCTCAATTGTAGACCCGCACCGATAATGGATGTATCACTGATGTTGCTACTGCTGCTTTCAAACAACGGCATGGAATTGTTTGCGTTACCACCATCACCGTTTACAAACAATGGTTTAATGGTGTTTACATACGTTTGACCTCCTTTTTTCAATGTTCCGTCTTTATTTAAATGCACACCGGTTTTGCCGAGAATCGTTTTGTACACATACAAATCCGATTCGGAGTAAACACTGGGGTTTTTCGAAAATAGTAAATCCACAAGACCCATAGTGAGCGAGAATTTTTCATCTAAAACATTAATTGTTCCTCTGTCGAGAAAGATATTGTAGACTTCACCTAATGCCATCCGGTGATACCTTTGATCCATACATTTTATCTTTGTTGGGGTTCATTGACCATTGATACATGTACTGATGGAAAAACCCGTCATCGTGTTCCACAGTGTATCTATCATCGTTTAAACTCTTGATAGTTTGCTGTAATTGTTCTTGTTGTTGTTGTTGTTTTTGCTGTTGTTGCTGTTGCTGTGACGCAATTTTATCTAATGGTTCAATGATTGGCGCCAACTGACGTATTACGTGAGTCAACGAATCCGCTTCGCCGCGATGCAATTCTGTGTACTTTTTTCGAACATTTTCCCGGGCTTCAGTCAACAGTTTTAGCAATGTTTCCTTATCGGCACTCATATTGTAACAAATGTGTCAAACTTGTATCTGTATCGACCGTCGTCCCGTGCAAAGTCCAAACAAATCACTGCGAATCCGTACCGATCCTTGTTCCAATCTCATCTTTCAGTGAGAGATGAGAAAAATTGGTAACAGATACAAAAAAAAAACACATCACAGTAAAACCAATACCTTTTCAGCTTTGCATCGAAGCTAAAACTCCTCAACACATTGAGTCGGTCACACGTAGCGATTAATATACATTATGAGCCGTCTGTACATAACACATTATTAGATAATAATGTTGTGATAAACGAGATAGATTATTGTATTATAACTACCTTAGTATACCTATATTAATTGACTATCAACGTCCGACGATATCCACAAAAACCAGTTTAAGGGAGAACATATCTATATTTTGCTAAAAATAGATAAATCACGAATCAAATAAATTGTTGCCTACTTATTTTATAGTTCTGTTGATTATAAATAGTACTAATATTACTAATAGTACTAATATTATAAATAATAATAAACTAACTGTAGTCTATGATGTTAACTTTAATATATCATATTTTACATTTATATTTTTGTATACGCTTTAAGTTGACGAATAAATAATTAATATTTTTGTTAGAAATAGATAATTATGTTTCTTAAAAATAAATCAATTTGTTAGAATTTCAAGTTAAATAAAATTAATTAAATTTTAAAAAAATCACATATATGTTATAAGATATTTGTTCCACGGGACAAGTGCTCCCAAAGCCCCTCCTAAATGTGGGCTTGACTGCAACTAACACTTTAATGCATGATCTGAATGGAATTTATCAAAACGTTTTTTGTAATGATAATCAATAAATGTAAAAGGTATTGTTTTTGTAATAAATTTGTTAAATAATAATAATAATTATTAAAAATATTTTCTGTTATATAAAATAGTAACTACATCAATAAGCTAAAAAATAAAATATTATCATCTATACTTGACCCATCTATGCCATGTCTATACTGTATCACTAATGGGCTACCATTTTAAAATTAATTTAAGAATATTTTATAAGTATTCTTATATTGATCGATGTATAAATTGAAAGACTTAATTATGATGTTTTCTCGGGAACTAGTTTCAAATATTTCTATGTATAGAAACTACAAAAAAATTTAATTGAGACAATTATTTAAAAATATAACTGCAAACAATAATGGGATTAGTCATTATAAATCTTTTGTTTAAATAAGTAGACATTTTATTTTTAAATATACAAATAAAGGAGCTGTTATTTGATGACATAAATATGAACATTTAAGTAACTTTTAACTACATTTTTTTAGTGTACATCATATAATTCTAGTAAAAAAAAATTGAAAATGCTGATTGTAACTATATGGTGCCTTTATTTGGTGTTCAACATTTTATATTATGCTCAGAAAGTTTCATGTGATATTAAAATGCAAGATATTCTTCAGAATTTTGTTTACTCTGCGGATAGTTTACATCTTGATGGAGTAAGTATTAAATTTGATGGCGTGAATTTTATATCCTATTATGACTTAAGACAGCAAGCATATCAATCAGCAATAAACTATGAAAATAAAGTTGAGCAACCAAAAGCACATAATTTTCTTGTACAATTTAATTATAATTTGCCATATATTGTTTACTGTAATTATTCTGAAAGAATAACCGTTACTACTTATTATATATTTTATTTAATGGAAGAATGTAAGAGAAATTTAAATGAATACATAATAGATTCTCTTAACAAATTTATCCAAAAATTGGTAGTATTGGTAGTTTCTATACAAGAAGGGGTTCAGTACGTTAGTCTACTTAGTCCTAAACAAAAAAATTTTCAACGAATTCCGCAAACATTCATTGACAATCCTCTAAAGTCAGGTCCAATAGAAGTGGTTGGCATTCAGAATTACCTTGATTGTGTATTATCTATATTAAGCGAAAAAGCATATAATTATATGAAACGATATTGTAGATATGCAAACGAAAATAATATCCCAAATTTGGACATTCTCGATGTTTTATTTGGTAACAGACCTAATGCAGATGAAACTAAGTACCAATTTTTAGCCAGGTATACTTAAGAATACTTTGCTAAAACTAACATTTTTATGACTCATTTGAATGTAATTTATCAAAATCTTTTTGGTAATAATAATCAATAAATGTAAAAGTTATTTTTTGTACTAAATTTGTTAAATAATAAAAATAATAATTATTAAAAATATTTCCTGTAATAGAAAATATTAATCATATCAATGAGTTAAAAAATAAAATGTTCAACAATAGTTTTTTATTTGTTACTTTATACTTTACATGTTTGTTTACGAAACACCTTGAATGAATATCAGTATATACTGATATATAACATACATGAATAAAACATAAAAAATAGAATAAGTATTATATTTTAAATTTAGATAGTGAATGAGTGTTTTTTTAATGGCATTTATTTTAGAAAAAGTAGTTATTAAATATTTTAAACTACATTCCTGTCGTTAGAGTCTTGTGAATAAATAAGTATTGGATGCCTTAATGGAGAATAAAAAAAATTCTAATACATGGTATTTATTTATTACACTAATATATTGTAGATTGAAGTTTTAACTTTAATTATTATTTTTGTGAATGTTTTTGATTTTACGCACGTTTATCGTAAATCCTAAAATTTGTTAGCATTCTTCAACATTAAAATTTATCCCTTTTTAGTTTATTTATACTCCAATTAATAATTAATAAGCACATATATGTGTATATTATTAATATATTAATGAAAAGTATTAATACAAATTTATGCAGTTTTTTTAACATATATTTTATTATCAGAGCAGTACAAAAAAAATTTGTTTTTATAATATACACAATTTTTGTTTAGATA